TCCAATAATGGTGTAAGCATGGTTCAAATACTCAGATCAGATACTATTGGATAGTCTCTCTCATTGGCTTCACCATGGAGCTAGAGGTTCTCTATGTTTTTCTAGATGCTGTATGGTATTAAGTTTGACTTTGAACCAGGAACTTCACATAGTACTTCAGATTAACTGCAAATGAATATCCTGCTAAGTGGTGTTTTCTCCTTCGGGAACCAAATGCCCCATTTTTTATTTGACTGCATGGAGACTGAGTCAAATAGAGACAATCTGGTAGAGCAGCTCTTACTAGTTCCCTTATTTAAGCAGAGCAGTCAGAGGGAAAGCCTTGAAGCAGCACTGCACGTGAGGAATTTTATCACATTCTAATCACTCTGATACTCACTAAAAACTTCCCATCCTCCCATACTGGTCACAAATTCTGCAAAATGTGTGCAACAGCCGTGGTGCAATAGGCAGGGCTGTGCTTTTCAAAGGAAGATTTAGTATGGATGAGGCAGAAGGTTTTGAGTGCAAGCCTGCTGCTTTGCTGCCCACTGAAGACTTGATGTGGCCAGTGGTTTGCCACTAGACTTTCCACAAAGCTGGCCCTATCCAAATAAAATGTTTCTCTCACCACAAGCTTCCAGTGAGATTCACTCATTGCATTTTCCACCCCTATTGCCATTCTTTTGGAGTCTGTTCTATGGATTGTGTGGGAAGGCAGGAAGGAGAAGAGGAGATGGGGTACACATGACCTTGCAGGTTCTCCTCTGGCTCTCTTTAGAGGCTGACCCATGAAGGAACAGCCTGCTCTTTCTTTGCTCTAGTGTTACAGGTTTGCCATAGAGATCCTAGGTTCAGTCCAGCTGATGACAATGTTGCACATATTTAATGTGGACAACACTGATTACATCATGATAACTGTTTTTCATTCACATACATGCAGGGGTAGTAAAATTGATATGGAACAAACCCAAAATGATGGGGAAATTCCTACAAAAGTAAATTTGGGTGCCAGTTACAAATGATTTCCAGAAGGGCTGGAAAGCCCAGAATGTAGGGATAATTTTTTGTCTTTTTTTGGTATTTATTCAAGCACAAAACATGTGGACTGTTGCCTGAATTCTTCTCCCTGTCCAAATTTCAACCAACCAATTAACATTTCTCGGATAGTTACAATAGTTGGACCTACGTTCATTGTGGTTTTTTGTTTTATACAGTAATCAGTTTGGACTGGACTACATTTATTCATATTACTGATTGCTAAAATATTTTCCTTGTTACCCGGTAAAAACACAGTGAAGGCTCAGTTCTAGTTTCAAAATTATGTACATATATATGTATGTACATATATTAGTTGGTGAGGAATGAGTTTATTGAGCAGTGAGGGTTGGAGCTGCACTCACAGCTGAAATGTGTTATTTATCAGCAGATCTTCACAGTCAGCACTGCACAGTATGTGAACTTCCTTGCACCACTCTGCCAAAGCTCCCCATGGCTGACCTGCTTGCTGGCCTGAGCTTCAGGGAGCTCCCAGCCTCCAGCTGGTGACTGCATTTCTGTGCTGCCTGTGCCTGTGGCAGAACCCAGCTTTGCCATTCCTTCTGCCCCAGCTCAAGATAAGAAAATGCCAAAGGTCTCTCTCTCCCACTGGTTTGAGTGGGAGAAGCCTGGAGTGTGACTGCTGCTGCCCTCTCCTTTTATTTACCGATAGACCTTCTGTAAGCTGTAATACTTGTAGTTTGAATAATCCATTTGTCCAGCCACTGACTGTCATTTATAAAAGTTCCTACAGAGAGGCTCCATGGAGAAAAAAAAAAAAAAAGTGAACTGATTTGCTGTGAACATTGTGGTTTAAGAAGGAGCCTACATGAACATGCTGCTTGTTTTTCCATCTTGTGCTCCCTCCTCCCCCCTTTTTTTCCATCTTATTTTTAAGAATTTTTCAGGCAATGAGGACAGCTGAAATTTTTAAAATCAGAGGTGTCCAGAAAATGGAAAGTCCTTGTCCATTTTCACCTTATCGAGACTGGTTTCCTAAAATAACACCCAATGAGTACACAGGATATTTTAAAAGGCCCTAAAACCTTATTTATATTCAAATTTTATGTTGGAGTTTGAGCTTTTATGGAGCATTAGAGTTGTCATTTGATTAGCACTAAATGACATATCCAGGCTGAAGGGTGAGAGCTGTGCCTCTCCCCAGGAGAGAAGACCATCCTGGCTCTGTAACCGCACTGAACAGTAGAGAGTAGAATTCAAGTGAGAAAATGGAGGTACCAGGAAACTTTAAAATTCAATACGGACAGACTGTGGTGGATATTTATACAGTGGAGAAAGCTCTCAGGCTGGATTTTGCTCTGAACTTTTTATGAGACGTGTAGTTTCCAGTCTCAGATGCTCAGACTACTTCAAAGAGATGTGCAAAAGGAGAACGAGTACATTAATATTTTACCTACATAACAGTCTACCTATGTGAAATGCAAAGTAAAAGGGACTGCAGCCTTCTCTGCAAGAATGTTAGGGTGAATTTCACAAACTGGAAAGATTAAAAATACTAATTTGAGAGTATAAAGCAACAGCAGAAGTAGACAAGGAAAGATAAAGTGAGCTATTAAGAAGGGCCAAAGTAATAGTATGTTTAGTTATGAGAGGCAGGTGAATGAGGTATCTAGAAGACCAAAATGCCAGTTTTGTCAAATGGGAATTGCTCGAGACAGCCAGTATGAAGAAGGCAGGAATCATGTTCTCACTGCTTCTGTCTTCACCTCAGAAGTCTCACCTACCTTCTGACTCACCTAAACCTTATACATAACTTCCCAGAAAGACACGCAAAGAACCCAGCTGTCACACTGCTCAGGCTTGTATCACATCATCCATTTGTCCTTGTTCAGGAGACAGAAAGGAAAAAGTATTTTGGAAACTTCAACTACATAGAGTGATGCTGGGCAACAAGAACTTCATGAAAACTGTTTCTATCCAAGAGCTTTCAGCTGAGAAGGTTAATAGTATCAGCAAGAAATCATCATTAGAAGAATAAAAACTTCTGTTAACAAGCACTTGTCATCTGAAAAATCCCAAAGAAATTGAAAATCCAAGCCGACTGAACTGCAGCCACGACTGGAAAGGACACTATAGTTGTCAGCAATCTGCTTACAGCAAGTCATGTGCAGGAAAAGGGAGAGAAAAAAGAAAATGTAGCATTTTGAAGAAAAACTGCTGTTATGCATTCTTGAGTGGTACTACAGTGATTCTGATTTTAGAGAGTCTCATCCGAATTCAAGGTTTTCCCAATAGGAGGATTGATTACACAATGATGGAGCCATTTCCATAGCCACAGAACCCCTTAGAGATATTCAGTAAATGCTTTGAAAACCAGTGACCTGTGCCTTTCTCTGTGCTACTGAGGATTGTATTTGCTTCCACTATGTGCTTATCCCTGGCATTTAAAAATAATATTAATTTGCAATTACTATTAATATAAATTGATTAAACAGATCACACTCTACAGAATGCCCCATCAGATGATATCTGCATTTCTTTTGCTGTCCTTCCTGGGCCTGGACAGACACAAAAGTAAAATGAGATGCTCGTACATGAAGTGAAAATGTAGAGACTGGGGCTTGTGATGGATGTACAGACTAGATAAACAAGAGTCCAAGAGCTCAATACCTTCTACTGAGAATACCCTAGTTCTGTGGCCTAGAATTTCAAATGTGAAGTGAGGACTTCTCCCAAACCACCTAATGAGATGCCAAGTACTTCTGTGTTGAGAAGGAGAAGCTGCCAAGATTCCAGCATGACATAGTTTTCTAAAATAAATTCACTGAAACTGGTACCTGCAAATGCTTCCAGTGGCAAAGAGCAGATCCACAGTAGTAGTAAGAAGACTGCTTTATTGTGCATTGCTGAAATTTGAAGGGGTTGTTTTGTATGAAACCTTGTTAGGGAACCCCGTTTTTCATCCAGTTTTTCCAACAAATGAGACAAATTTCTATGTTTTGCTTGCAGAGAACTTGCCTATCTGCTACAGATTCCCAAATGAGTATCTCCGAAGGAGAGAAGGGACGGGGAGGTAGCTGCAGCAATACAGCACACTTGCTGAACTACAGCTTCCATGTTATTCACCAGTGGTTCTGCTCTATGTTCTTTTGTGTACTGCATTTCATTTTGCAACCAACTATGTGCTTTCCAGGCTGACACACCACATTACAAATGTCTAAGAATTATGAAGTCACATTGCAATCTCTATGGAATAATTTAATGCTAAATAGTTTTCAGGTAAGGTCTTATGACGATGAACAGCAATCTTGGCCACTGATTCAGTGTCAGGTATGAACTGAAATGCCATCCTTACATACTGTTTAATGCAAAACAGCCACAGTGAGTTTTGAACCCTATCATCATTTCAGAACGCTTTCTCTTGGTCTGTTTATACGTTCAATGCAAACACATTCTCAGATCTCCTGCTGCAGGAACTAAGTGGTCATGTCCTTGGTACTCAATTCCATTGGTAAAGATTTTACCAGTTGCAACCTGATGCGGCTTCCTAGGAAAGGGAAACTGAACATGTAGTTTGGGATAACAATTAGGAGGATTTAAATGACAAATTTCCTACAGACACAAGAAGTGCAAACAATAATCATAATGAATCAAACTTTAAAATCATTCTTCATTAGGCACTGTAACATAGGTAAATATATTCACAAATTTAGTAACAGAAACTTAAAAAACACTGATTCTTGTGCCGATGTGTACAAAATGTACCCGCTGTGACACAAAAAAAAGGCAGATTAATTTTCATCAGAAGTGATATAGATAGGTTATTTGTGGATGTCATTATGCGTGCTACATCCAACAATTAGTTCAGTCAATTTGGTTTACGAGTCATACGAAGTACATCTGCTGGCAACATGAGATTCACACCTGTGATCAATACCTCACGTGGCTAGTTATAGAAAAAATGGTCACAGCACTGTTGTGATAGTTTAGGTGAAAGTAAGAAGGAAAAGCACATTCCCTACCTTCTCAGCATCTTGCTCAAAAAGTCGGAGTTGAAAGCACTGGTCTAGTTTCAACTTGCGGACATGCCACATCTGATGTAAGTGTTGCCGGGTAGAATGCAGCTTGTCTAAAAGGCTGGTAATCTTTGGCACAAGACTTTGAAAATCCGCGCTTCCAGGAATGCAGTTCCTACCGGAAAAACCATCACTGCACCTTATGCATTGTAATAACCTCTGACCCTCACGGTCCAGTTCTTCCACAGGAGCTTTAATCACTTTTTTCTTAAGCTGTGTGTGCTCATCAATCAGCCTCCTGGAGCCCTCAACGTCAACTGGAAACTCCTTCCTAGCCAACATTTCCTGGAGGTCCTCCAGCCTTGATAATAAATGGATGGCACTGTTGAAAAACTCTTCCAAGGAGACACGCAGCTCTATCCATTCATCGTGGTTGTAATCCAAGGATCCTTCAAACTCATCTGTCAGTTGTGATGGATCTACAAGTTTTGCCAGGCCTTCAACAGATACCATACTTGTCTAAGGAAGAGAAAATGACAGCATTTGAATTAGTGACTGTGACCAGAAATAATGGTGCAACCCGCAAATAGCACAAGAGGATTATTTTCCTCATCAATACATAATTGCAACAACATTGCAAAAGATGCTGAGGACTATGTTTAACTTTGAAGAATTAACGGATTGAAAATGCTCCTATTAATCACACTGATGATTGTTTTTATTTATTCAAAAACATGGTATTGACTGCAGTAATGCCTGTCCTTTTAAACCAGTCTGTCTGTCAAAAATATATCACAAGAATACTTCTGTCACAGATAACTTTAACTCAGTTGAATACTGCTGATTTCTTACCATCTCTGTTGAGTATGTGGCTGTGATTGTTTATAAAACAGGTAAATGATATTAAATGGTTCTGTGGCTTATGATGCATTCAGGCAAGCGGCCGTACTGCAGTAAACATTTTAGGCACTTAAATTAAAGTAGGTATTGTGAGCTGCCAAAACACACAATATGCTGGCTTTTTTTTTTTCTCTTCCAGATCATTCCAGTCCGCTTTTGCCACAGGCAGAGCTCTTTCACATTAGAAATTTCTAATTCAATTAAGCCAAAATCAATGCAAAAGTGAAATGTCACTGAAGTATTAACAATTAGAATTTATTGCTAATAGAAAGAATGGCTCATGAATCCATGAATCATACACAGTCAATGAGAGACGGTTTTAATTCATTTAGACTCAGTAATCAGAAATAAAGAAATGCAATGGGTGCCTGGAAAACAGCTTTCAGTTTAAGGGCCTAACAACTGATGTTTGTTCCCACTTATTTTAGACAAATTAATATATTTTTTTTTCTGAAATATGAGCATAAAGTTTCAAATGTTATTATAGATTTTCTGTGCTGTCATTTAACACCCAAGTTGGTAGCCCTTAAAGAACTGCAGTATTCACCAGTGGCTGCACATCTACTCCCACAAAATCAGGCCTCTAAGGAGTGTCAGTTTGTCCTCTGCAGAGGTGGATGCACCCAATAATCACAGAAAGCTTGTAAATGTCATCTGTAAAGAAAAATACTTAATGTCTGTCCATTATCCTGAACTATGTCCAAAAGAACAGACTTCCCACTGGTTTTAAGTTAATAACAGGCTTTTCTTCCAATTTTTATCCATCTGAAACTATCAGGCATTCTGCAATGTATTAAGATGGAAATTCTATGGAATACATGCTCAGTAGAAAGATTATTTTAGAAAAAGCTTTCAATGTTCTTTGGTTTGGTGAAGAGGGAAGAGCCAAACTATGGAAAAGTAAACATGCAGCTTCAGAGGGATCTCAAAATTCTAAACCTCCAGACACTAACTCCTTGAAAAGAATTAAGCTTAGATTTTAACTGCCTGACAAGAAAAGTATCTCTGTGGCCAGTACCTGGGCATTCCCTCTGCAGTTCTTCAAGCTAATGCAAGCATTGCTCTTATCATGCTGAGAATTTGGCATGACAATATAACAGAAAGGCTTTTCATTAGGAAATTTCTGTAGCAAATTTCTTCACTCGGATTTGTTTCTCTGAGGAGATTCTCATGAAAACAATCTCAGTTAGGCAGGTAAGTGGTAAGAGAAAACAAAAGTAACTCAGGGATCACCCATCTTTCTTCTAAAAGTAACTTTAAAAAGCACTGCCCCACTATTAAAGCCTTTGGCAGGAGAAATAAAAGAATCTTGAAAGCACCCCTGGATTAATGCTAACTAAGCAGCCCAACCCATTCCTCAAAATGGCAGGGCACTCTGGAATCTGCAGAGGTGAACCAAACCTTGTCCTTTTTTCTTATTATTCCGTGTCTGATGAACTGCAGGGCATGTTTCTCTCTCCAGACTGTAACGCAGAATCATTCTGCCAGAGGTTCACAATACAGTGTCCAGATCATTAGCCTCCACCATGGCCACGCTCTGTCCTGGCACAGGCATAATGCTTCCATTAAGCTCAGAAGCAGAAGTTGGCTAAAAAACAGACACTGGCAACTGTTTCGTTTGTAGATGGGGTGATTCAACAGAGACTTCCATTGCCTTCCACTGCACTCACCTCCTGCTGAGTACCTCGTGTTTGATCAGAGCTGTGGGAAAGCACCAGGATCGTGAAAAGAGGGTGCATGTGTGCTGCCCCACATAAATCAAATAAATGTGAGTCATATTAACCTGTGATGCTTATTTGGTACTCACAGTTCTTATGCAGAGAGCAAGAGCTGCCCCAGGGCTTACTGATAAGCAATAGCAACCACAGGGACCCTTTAAAACAGAAGCTCATGGATAGTGGAGGCTGTATTGCAGTGGATCTACAGGACTGAGCTTCAGAGCTGCACATTCAGGGTCTGAGTAAGAGAGCCAAATATACACTTGTTTATCAGCAAAATAAAAAAACAATGATTAATTAATGGCTGGGCATGATTGATATATAAGCTCTTCACATGCCTGAGCTTTGCTTTTCTTTGGGTAAGAAACTGAAGTTCCCAGAATGCTAAAAAGCACTAACAGAATATAGCTGGTTTGTCTTCATCTATGGCAAAGTGAGTAAAAATCTCTTTAATTATGCAGTGTTGTATATTGGTTACCTATCAGAGAGCCTGCCTTAGGCAACTTATCATTAACAAGAATTGTTTTTGTTAGCCCTGAACTGTAAATCTCAATTAAATTAAAGTGGTGACAATATATAAACAAATTTAATCTCAATGTCTTTTATTAAAAGAGCTATTAACTGAAGTTGCATTAAGGTCAGCTAACAAACTCATACCCATACATTACCAACTAGAGAACTTTGTCTTTACTATTTTGATTCATTTGGTGCTTGTTTGTTTGGAGTTTTTTGATTGTTTATTGTTTGTTTTTCCTAAAATAAACACAGAAAAGGCTAAATGCAACACCATCAAAAATAAAACAGAAAAACCCTCACCAATGTGACCCATGGATGTGATCATCACCCAAGTGAAACAAGCACCCCACTCTACACCTGTGCTCAGAAGGCAACCTGGTGCCAAGGCATTTCTGGGATGCAGTCCTCAGATATCATCTTTTCTCTCAAGGACAGGGCTTGAGAAATCTCTTCCCTGAAGAACATTTTTTTATGAGGAATAATGCTTTGCCATACATCCCTCATGTGGCTCTCACCTCAAAGATGAACTTGGAACTGCCGAAGTTTGTCTTCTGCTTCTGCCAGAAATTATCAGGTTTTATAATCAGGGCAACATGAATCTCGGCAGGAAAGGCTTCTTGAAGGGTCTTTAGGAGAGGCTTGATCAAATCCCATTTTGATCCCCGCATATCAATAATAACAGTGAATCCTCGTTTACAGACATCTTCGCTGTAGGAATAAAAGCATGTCAAAATAATTAATACTGAGGGCAGTCACACTGAGATTTAACTTTTCTTGCTATCATTCAGTGCTGCAGAGCAAAGCAGGGGATGATATACTTCAAAATAAAAGGCAAAAGTGCACAGCATCGAGGTTATATCAATTTTAAGAGTTTTGCCATAATCTAATCTACATGAAATGTACACTTTACATTTTAATCTCTTATTTCCTAAGAACAGGCAATTCAAATTTGCACTGAAATCACCTGTAGTTTACACAATCCAAACCAGAATCAAATCTATCTATATAGTACCTGAATATATATGTCTACAACAGATTCTGCTTTCAATCTGTTGAATTTAATTCACAGTCAAAGCCAGCGAGCAGGATCCTGTGCCTTAACGTTGCTGGCTGCTCATATATTTGGGTGCTTTCATTTTTAGAGGCCCCACTATGGGCTTTTTAAAAATGTGCAATTTCCAGAAAAGTGCTTGCCAATCATTCCGTGGAAGGAAGGTCCTTGTGACTCACTATGTGCACTGCTAAAATTGAGGCCCTTTTCCTTCCTGATCGATCTTCCAAATGTTGCTGGGCTTTTTATGTCTGCAGCCTTAATTTTCTGCCAGCCTATGCTCCTCGCTTCTCAAACATTAAAGACGGCTGTCCAGCCTCATCCTTAGCAATGTGCATGGAACAAGAGCACCACAGCACCAGCTTGCCACATGCCTTTCCTTTTTATTCACAAGAGAGGAGAAAACATGAAAGAACGCGTTGATTCAAGTCAAATCTGGGCAACTTTCTGAATAGCTTTTACAGGGACATAGCACTGCTTCTCAGAAAAAGGGATATGGCTCAAAAGCATCCTCCTCCATCTGCAGCATCCAAACATTAGATTAGAACTGACAAGTGTTGACTCCTCCGACTGCCCAGCCAATACACCTGCTATGCATGGCACTGAGCTCAGAGAGCTAAGGTGTCTGCTGTGGGCCCTGGGCAATTGCATAAAACACCAACTCTCAACTCCCAGTAATATTATTGGGATATTAATGGCTAAAAGTCATTGTCAAAGCACTGAAAACGACAGCATGGCCTAATTGTTGATCACAATTCAGTCACAACACAGCCATAACAAGAAGATGCTGAAAGAAAAGAACTGTAGAAAGAAGAAAGGACGATATAAACCAAAGAAGAGAAATATGGCAGAACATGAATCTATTTTGTATAATGAGTGTAACAGGGAGGTACAGAACAAGAGATTCTGTTTAGCACATGAATACAGCACACTTGGCCTTTCTGCAGACTGGCCATCATTACAAATAGCTTCATAAAGGTATATGTAGGCATAAAGGCTTATGTAAGATAATTAAAAATAGCAAATGTTGAAATGGATCATTAGAGAGAATCCAAAATACGCTGAAGACAGATATTAGTAAGCATGCTTATAATGCAGAATCATAATACTCTGTTTAGATTCTCTCTGAAGACACTCAGTGCACACACATATTTTCACTATATTCTACCTCTCTGAATCCTTAAACACTTTCTGCTGGTACGATCTAGATCACATGTATCTCACTAAAACAACTCTGTAAAGCTCTCTAAGTCAAAGATGGAGTATTTTTCATAGGAGGCACACTAGATTAACATCTATAACTCAAAAATGAAAGCCCTTGGTGAGCTCATGGAGATGTAAAGACATTTCTGCACCGACTGCTCCACAGGAAAAGTTTTTTTACCATATTAAGGGAAGTCCCTAAATTCTGCAGTCTCCATTCAATGCCAGGAGCAAGCTGTCACAGCCAGTGAGCTTGGTCCTCCACCTTATTGGCACACACAGGGCATGCTACATACAACACTCTGTGCAAAGAAACACGAGGCAGACCAGGCACCTCCAAACACTGTTAGGAATACAGATCTTTTTATTCTCCTTTTACCTAGTGCTGAAAGGTCAGACATCTGATCCTGCCATAACTAATGCCAAAAAATGCTGTCAAAGAAGCTTTGTTGGTGTTGCTACTACCTCTTGCCCTTTGGAACTACAGAGGAGACAAAGAAGCAAATCAGAAAGGACCTGAATAGGGGTTCTGTGTTGTTTTTTTCTTGCAGAGCTTTATGGGGGCTTTAGCAACTTCTGCCAATTCACCGAACCTTGTTATACTGAATGACTGATTTTTCTTCAAACATTTGACACAGAGATCCATAGCCAAACAAAGAAGAAGGAGATAAGTGTTTAAGTATTTATTTAGATAGTAAGCTCTTTAGGGCAGAAATCATCTACCATGCTGTGTTTTTCTAAGGAGTTTGCCTCCAGGTACCTACACAGACTTCAGCTGCTTAGCATTAATTTGAAAAAAAATATGCTTTGAGAAACGTGCAAATCCAAATAATTCCATTAAATATTTAAACACAATTTGTAAAAGCACAACTGAATGTGGATGTGAAAGGCTTACACAGACGTGGGGACATCTTGTATTTAAAAAAAAACTCACATTGAAAATGACAATATTTAAGTTGTAGTATCCCAATACCGACAGCCATTGAGAGGGCTCTAAAACAAGCCTCATTTGTAGACAACAAAACACCCATAAATTCTGGAGAGTCAGGGTAATCTGTGAGCATTTGTCATCCTTGACAGTCAGTCATTTTTCATCAGTTACCTCAATATGTAGAGGAAATGACCCTAGGTTCCTTTTGAATAGTCTAGCCATGCTTATTAAATTTATTGTTTAAAAGCAACAACTGAAACCCTCCCCAGTTTAGCAATTGATCAGGAAAAGCATCAGCAGCAATCAAACTTCCTTTGCACTGTCCAAGCAAGGCATGCCTTATCCCCAACTCTCAGGAGGCTGCAGCAATCCACATATCCATTATGCACAAGCAATCATTTCAGGATGGCAATTAATGTTGATTGTGGTGCTTAATTTTTTCCAGTATCGATATTTGACCAGAAACTGGAGAAAATGCTCAGATCAAGGTATTTGGACAATCCATCAGCCTTTTGGCTGCACTCATCTGGACTTGATTTGCAGCAGTGAGCACAAAATATCTGATAGGTGATGAGTCATTTCAATTGCTACACTGCTTTCAAACAAAGACTGAAACTACCTTCCAAATTTACTGAAAATATCTGGGAATATTTGTAAAAACAAGTACAATTATACGTTTGTTGGTGGTTTTTTGTGTTGTTTTTTTTTATTATTATTTTTAATTTTTTAAAAGAATAAATCCAAAACTCAAAAGCAGATGTGATAATTTTGTCAAAATAAACCCCTCTATTTTGGTTTCTAGGGTGCTTTCACAAGGTTATTTTCTCAAATTTCCTCTTTAATTCAGGCACATTCTAAATTGTGTTTTCTTTGGCAAGAGCTGGCTTGCTGGGTACCAAACAATATTGAGCACTTCATGCTTTCTGATTAATCTTTGAAAAAACTATCATTGATTATATGTATTTTTCATCCTTGCAACTTGGCCAAAGCTTCTGGCATTTAGAAGCTTCAGCACTTGATTAGCTGAAATAACACAGTATCTCCATTCCCATTTTGCAGTCAGGAGTTAATGAAAAAGCAACACATTTAGCACGCCTGTTGGGCCACTGAAACCACAGATCTGACATATATGGCATCTCATTCAGAATATGATTTGTTAACAGTGAGAGTGAGATCTCCTTCAAGGAGGGTCAGTGTAACCTTGTCAGGAGACACTCTCAGCATTACAAGTAGCTCGACAAGCATCAATTTGTAAGTACAAAATCTCCAGGAGCTTAATTATTTTTGAGATCACCATTCCGTTGACAAATGTGGCTGTAATCAGTCAATTGATTCACTAGCTGGGGGTGGAAAAGGGAGAGGAAGAGGAGAAAAATTAGTATGTGACAGCCTCTCCAAGGCCTCATCTCATACTGAGACCAAACTAACTCTCCTGGGTAGTTTCAGTATGCCAAGGATCACTTCAGTAACTAAAGTGTTAATGTTTTATCTACTGCAATTGTTTATTCATCTTGTCTGTGGCTTGTTTACACAGCTTGAAAATGAAGCTGGCTGGGGACGTTTGTAATCAGTGTCACTTACTGGCTGTAATTGTTTGGTTCTTCACTACCAAGTTGAGCCTGAAGATCATCTTCAACAGAAATAGTTATCTGCTTTGTTAATGTGCTTTCCAGTGAATTTGGAGGACAAGATAGTCCTTTTTAATAGACATACTTATCAAGCACTCTTGAACCCGCATTATTTATTAAAATATTGGACATTTAATACTTCTCAAAAAATTGTACCATGCTCATCATTCCAATTAGCATTCCAGTTATCATTCCAATTAGTTCCTGAATGCTCACACTGCCACCAGTGGTGTCCCACATCCCCCAGTGGCTGTGGCTGTTGGGTGTGCTGGAGCAGTCCATCTTCACACAGATCCCAGGACACCTGCTGATCCTCACATCCTCTTACATGCTGGTGCATCAACCAGCTGTGGGGAAAGGCACATCCTGAGAGCACCATTATCTGGAGTAACAAATCCAGGAAAGCTCCCACCAGAGAAGTTCAGCTACCTAGAAGTCTGAAAGTAGAGAGACTTCAGCCTGAATTTTTCCTTTCTTGTTTTCTTACGTGGTTTCACAATGCTTTTCTTGTAACTAGAAGAGAAACATTCATCCAGCCCCCATTTCCAATCAATCCTTTGTTCCTTACTGAGACCTAAATTTGTTTCTTCTCTTGCAGTTTCAAAAAGGAAATACTCATTCTCTTTTTCAAAAAAGGCAGTTTCACATTGGCTGGAGCTGGACATAAAGCAGCATCGCAGAGAAATTTCAGTGACATCTTGTAAAGAGACTTGGAGCCGGTGAGGTCCAGTCAGAGACAAAGCTCCTGTCTCTGGTTTCCAGCCATTGCTCTTAGGGGACATGAGATGTGACTGCAAATGGCACTAGAATGCAGATGCCTGGGCTGCACAATGTCCACATTCAACCCCTAGTTTTGGACACTTGTCAACAGGAGAAAACAGAAAAGCAGAAGAAA